AATATATTTTTAATATATTTTTTAAAGCATAACTAATTTTTCTTTAATATATCAACTTGCCTTCTGCTTGTAAAGCTTTACGTTACTTGTTTTAGTATTAAACAAGCCTAATTAAGCATAATATCTTTCCTTACTGAACTCTAAATTTAAGCATTCATTATTCTCGACACCGAAATCTGTCTTATTCGCAGCCAATGTCATTGGGTCATAACCATAAACCTTAATCAATTGCCACTGTGGGGCTATGTATGGAATGTCAATGTTGACTGATAAGAATCTAAACATTTGGCTAACCCTCGTTTGCGCTCACGCTGTCTCACTCTGTCTCTCTCTCTCTTTCTCTGCGTCACACACAAATACATATAAACGTAACCATTTCCCTTATCGCCTTTAGAAATTTAATGCCATTTACTCATTTTCCCATTCAATAATAAAAAATATTATATATAAACGATGCTTTCAGGCGCAACAGCTGTCAGTGTTGCGGTTGCTCGGTTATTGTTGCCTGCTGCTGTTGGTACTCAGGAAGTTTTTCTCTCTCTCTCTCTCATTTTTTTTTTACTTACTCAGCATTTACACCAACGTGGCACCTGAGTGCTAACCGCTGTTGCAGCTGCCTGTGCAAAAAAGAGTAAAGAAAATATTAAAAACGTCAGTAAAATTGATGTTTTGCACATCGACTTTGGCTTATTGTGTTAAAGGGCTAACGAGCATTTTAAACTTGCCGCAAACTTTATGGCCCAGTAAATAGGTATAACATTGAAAGTTGTTAGCAATTAGTTAACTAAAGCATAAACTATCTTCATTTGTGTTGAGCATAACTTGTTACGCTTAACATTTTCATGCTGATGTTCTTTATATTTATTGCCTTTAGGGCTTGAATTTTTTTCTTATTTTTTTGTAATTTTTTTAAATTTTATTTTTATTTATTTTTTTTTTTGTTTTAATTTGTAAACACAATTTATAATTAATTCTTTTAATAGGGCATTAAATGCTGCTAGGTTTGTCGATTCATAGAAAATAAATTTAAGTTTTATTTTATTGATTTATTTTTTATTTCTTATTTTATTTTATTTTTTATAAATACATTATTATTTTTGATAAACATTTTTACAGAGTGCTTGAATGTCCACCATAAATTTCTACACTTACTTTTCACACACAATTTATTATAAATATATACATATTTTTATTCAGCCGCTCTCTAACCACAAATTGTGGCCGCAACTGTAAATGTGGGCGCCGTGTGGCAAATGGAATTAATTTTTGTGTTTTCGTATATGTGTGTGTTCGTGCTGCCTGTTGCATAGTTGATAAACGACTTTAGTTGTACGCCTGGTGTGGCTACCAACAAGCCATCAACAAATCCGAGCATAACAATTGCGATTACGAAATGTTCTACAAAATGATTAACGGCTAAATTAACTTGTCAATTAAACTAATCGTCTGTCGTTTGTCTTTTCGTATTGCTATAATTTTGCAGTTCTGCCCAGACCGTAGCGGCGCTACTTGAGGCGCACCGGCCATCAAGATTCCTATGCCAGCCCGCAAGGGGCTGTTAGCGCCCCAAAATACATTCCTGGACACAATCGCTACACGCTTCGATGGCACGCGTAAGTAGAATGAATTAAATATAAAATGCGAAGCAGCTGGGGGAATGCGTTTGATATTAAAATAAATGTGCAAAAATAGATGCAACGAGAGGGGGCACGCATTAAATTTTATGTTTAAATATACTAAGCGTTTTAAATTTTATAAAAAAAAAAATAAATAAATAAAAATAAATGGAAACATCAACACATTTAAGAGAKTTAATGCGAGATATGAGTAAATTTAAATCCAATATTGAATATTGGTTACATTTTACTTATAGATTTTATATATATAGTTTATTCATAAGTCGAATTCTCTTCTCAAACTTAAATGAGCTCATAAAATATTTTATTGTTGATTCGAGGCTCAACTCACAAATAAACTTTAAATTTTAATTAATGCGTTCTGTATCGATTTTCAAGTGAATAAAAAAACAGATTTTAAAGGTCCATGCGGGTCTATTTACTTTTCAGACGCTCCTTCCTGGCATTCAACATTAAACGTGACAGAATTATAATACTTCAATATACAGATGTATACACCCTTTTAGATAGTATTATAATTTTGTCACGCAATATATAAATATATTTATAGAGCTATCATAGCTTCCATTAACAAGTTGAAACTCTCTCACGGAGCTATATGCACGTTTGACGACTCAGCAACAGCTATGAGTGTACTGATTAATACTTTATGGGCATGAAAGTGCCTCCCGGCGGAAATGCGGAGCAAAAATTGAGAATACCCAGAGCCAGGCATAAAAAGCAAAAGTTAAACGCTATTTACTTAGACATCCAGCTTGCTTTTATATATGTATGTATACTTGTATGTATATGTATATATCATTTTCAATGTATTATTTATGCGTGTTTTATTGAGCGGCCACTGACATAACGTAACATTACGCTATGTATATATGCATAAGCCAAAGCGGCATTTGGGTAGATCATAAAAAATCTCACAGAGCTAAACGGGTGCATGCTGGGAGCGAACCCACAGAAGAGTGGAAAATATATTCAAGCTGTGAGCCAGACAAAAGCAGGCAGCATATTGGCTAAAAGGGCGAACACACAGGGACAAGGACAATGCGTGTCCCAATAGAAATCTTCGCTGTTAAATTAAAACTACATATGTGTGTATGTCTGTGACTGTGTGTGTGTGTGTGTGCTTATTGTGCTCTGTGTATTCTGTGTCCTGTGTCGCCTGGCAACGGCAAGCACAAAAGGCGCCGCCAGCACAAGGAAACTCGTAAAATGCTTTCCATTTGTCATAAGCTTTTCATTTTTAATTTTTCTGCTATATTTTTATTTTTTGTTTTCTTTTTCTTTGCTCTCTTTTTTATGCCAAATTTAACTGTCAACTTTTATGGCTTAAACAATGGAAATAACATTAGCTGACAACACGTAAATCCGTTTCATAATCAACTTGTTGATTATGCAATCGCTTAACCTTTTGACTCTGCCCGCCAGCGACATTTAGTGCACATCTGGCATCTCAATGGGAAACAAGGGTATGGAACACGCTCTGCTTATGAGTTGTCATCTCATGTTTCCCAAATAAACGCCAAGACATGGGAGGCAATAGTTTTTGTTTTTGAATTGTTTTCTGCTGCTGTTCGCATGTGTACATGAATATTATATTATGATGTATGTGAAAATTGTCATCTGCAGCAGTCGATGGGAGTTACAAAGTTTTTGGTTAGTTGCACGAGGACTGATTGATGATAGATATGAGATGCTTTCATGTTATCTTGACACTACGTTTTTCATTTGATGAGTTTTGTTGCCCTATATGATTTAAGATATGTTTGTTTATACGAAATGTTTGTGTTGTATTGCAATTTCTTTTTTTTTTCTTTTTCTTTTTCATTTGATTTTATTTATTTATTGTTTTGTATGTATATATTGTAAAATAAATGGCAAACTTCGATCTATGTACCAATATAATTTCTCAGTTACTAATTAATGCATTTTTTGATTAAAACAGTTAATAAA